CACACACACACACACACACACACACACACACACACACACACACACAGAGCTGGACCCTCAGCTTCACTCCCATCCCACCCTTTTAAGCGTACAACCCCAGGAGATGCCTGGGGATGGGGGGCGGGGGACTGGCCGCAAGGCGCCCCTGGGTGAGTGGAATTTCCTGAGTCTCGAGCAGCTCCACCCCCGCTAGGCTGCTTCAGTCACTTGTTCAGCTCCTCAAACGGGAATAGTTTCGCTCAAAAACACTTTCCTCCTCCCCTATCGCAGCACTCCCCCACCCCACTCACTTCCCACCGCCTGCACCATCCCTCCTCCCTGGCACCCCTCCCCCTCCAGCGCCGAGGGGGGAAATCCCACGGAATAGCACAGGAAGCAACCTCGAACTGTGTCGGGGAGGGAGAGGAGTTATGTAGCCTGGATTAGGGGAGGGGAGAGCTGCTACTCTGTAGCTGTAGGTGTTCCCGGCGCTCGCTCTACTCCAGACTCTGCTGGTGTGGGCCCTTATTATTTCCCCTGGCCCTCCAGGTGGCCAGAGAGATCTTTTTTTCTTTAAACACGAAGTAGCATTTATTTATTTCTCTTCTTTTTGGAAGAAAGAGAGAGGAAAAAGAGAAGAGAGGAGAGAGAGAGAGAGAGAGAGAGAGGGAGGGAGAGAGAGAGAGAGAGAGAGAGAGAGAGAGAGAAGGGAGGGAAGAGTAGAGAGGAGCGCTGAGGATCTCCAGGCGGCGGGGAGACACCCGGCTGCCCCCTCCCCCTCCCCTTCCCACTCCCCACACGCGCGCGCACATTTCTCTCCCCCCCCTACCCCCTACGCCGGACCCCGCACCTCGGCGCCAACGGACCAGCCAGCCCAGCAGCGGGAGCCGCAGCGGGATGGAGGCGGCAGCCACGGAGCGCCCCGCAGGCTGGCCGGGGGCGCCCATCGCCCGGACTGGGCTCCTGCTCCTCTCTACTTGGGTCCTAGCTGGGGCCGAGATCACTTGGGGCGGCGGCGGCAGCGGCGGCAGTGCTCCCACCTCGCCGCCCCGGCTGCCGCTGCTCTCGCCGCGGGGAGTCTCGGGCCAGTGGCCGGAGCCGGCGGCGGGGAGAGGCGGGGGTCTGGGGCGCTGGCCCCGGGAGGAGATGCCTTATCCCGGTAGTGGCGGCAACAGCCAGGCGGAGGAGGAAGAGGAGGAAGAGGAGGAGGCGGCTGGGGGGCAGGAAGAGAGAGCGCCCTGGGGCCGCGGTTTTGAAGAGCTCAGGGGGTCTTCTCCAGCTGCGCAAGGAAAGCTTGGTGCTAGGAGGAGTCGCAGGGCGCAGCCCGCAGGCTCTCTGGCCCATTGGGGCAGCCGGGGAAATTCCCCGGCGGACGGATCGCGAGGCAGCCGGGCGCCGGCCAAAGGCTCCCAGGAAGAAGGGAGGGGGCCGAGAGCTCGGGGGGCGGCGGCAGAAGAGCTCAAACTGACCAGCACCTCGTTCGCCCTGACCGGAGACTCCGCGCACAATCAAGCCATGGTACACTGGTCCGGATACAACAGCAGCGTGAGTACCTTGCCTGCCTCTTCGCCTGTGTACGTGTAGTCTGCCCGTCTGCCTCTCTGTGTATGTGTTTGTCTGTCCGCTTGTGTGCGTGCCTGTCTTTCCACCTGTCCATCTATCCCCCTTTCTGTCTGTCCTTAGGCTTGCTCCGCTAGCGCGGGGGGCCGGCTCCCTCAGTTACGCCGGGACGCCGGGAGAGGGAGAACTGAGACTTGCTCGCCCCACTTTGGGAGAAGCTTGATTGTCCGGCTCTTTGATCAGTCTGTCCCTTCTCCATCTCCGCACCCCTAACAGGTTAGCTGAGTTGGAGAGAGGAAGGCGTGTGCGTTTGTTTACCAACGACCCCCAGGGTTGAGGGATTGAAGTGGGTGCGGGGTGGGGTCCCCGCGCTTGTTTTTTAGACAGTGTGGGGGGAGCAGGTGGGGCCGTGGTAACCAAGGTGTGTATGTGTGTGTGTGTGTGCGTGCGCGCGCGTGTGCGTGATCGTGTGTGATGTGTGAGATGTGTGTGTTTCTACGAGTGAGCGGAGTGGATCTGGAGTAGGCACGGCTGGAAGGACTGACAATGAGAGACTTGGCTTTTCCTCATTCCGGAAGGGACAGGGGTGATGGTCCTAGTGCCCAGCCTGCCTTTCTGGGGCTGGCTCCCCAACCCCACTCCGCTCTGAGCGCCGGTATCAGTTTCAAGGGACCTCCCCTGTCCTAGACAAACCCCAGTTAAGAGCTAACCTAGGTTAGGTTACGCAGGAGGCGAGGCAGAGGATAAAAGTTTGAAACACAAAAGGAAAAATGCCTCCATCTCCCCTTCCTCCCTGGGGGAAAAAAAAAGAAAAAGCACCAAGGAAAACCCTTCACCTTTGCTAGTCTTCCCCCCTCACCTCCGCCGAATCAGTTCCTGATACTGAGGCTAGCGAGGAGGGTGTCGGGGCCCCTGACCCGCTGGCCCCTTTTCCTTTTCTCGGATAGCTGCGTTTTGCCAGACCCTGTAGCATCAGGAGGTGGCGCCATTGATGTCGCTTCTGAGCCCCTTTGCTCTGGCTCCCCTTCTCCCGCTCACCCCACCTCCAGCCCATCTACACTTCCCTCCCTCCGCGACAGCTGCAGCGTCCAGGCTATGCTAAGACGCTTCTAGTCCAGAGGGCTGGTCCTCCCAGCATTCCTGATTTTTAAAGTCTTGGAGAATCGGGGGTTCTCAAATTCTCCCATTCCCGCGTTTCTCCCTTCCTAAGACCGCATGGTATGCCACAGACCAAAGTACATTCCCTACCCCAACCTGACATAGATCTTTCTCCTTCTTTCTGGTTTCTTGTTAGGGTTTAAAAAAAGATTTTTGCGAATGATTTGGGATATAAACATCTTCTGGTGCTAGCGGCTTATTTGGTGGTACACATTTTAGGGGGTTGGGAATACCGGTGTGAGGAGAAATGTTTTTCCCCCCTCCTTAAAATATTGACTATTCCCTTTGCCTTTTCTTTAGGAATTTCTTTCTTTCTTTTTTAACCATCATTTATAATTGGGTGTAGATGGGGTTGTATTGGTGACATGAAAGTGAGAGGTTCCGCAGTGTTGTTTACTGGAGGGCTGATTTCCTTTTGAGCTGGGTGATGTTCTTAAAGATACATAAATGACCTGGGTTCGAGTTTGTGAAACAAGTGCAGATTTAGAAGGATGGTTTATGAGGCAGAAGGTCGTCTCAGTCTGGGTTTCCAGTGCAATAGTTTAGTGTTTCTTTTTCCAACCAGCCCTGTCAGTCTCCCTGTGGTTATGACTTGCTCTTTGAAGTTCCATGGGGGCTAAATCTGTTTCTCCGGTGTTGGAGGGGGGCTGCTGTCTACTTAATGTTTGTCTGCTAAGGAGAGTTACACTGACAGTCAAATCCAGGGATGGCTCAGCAGAAAGGATTGCAAATTCCAACTTTCCTCCTCTTTTTTTTTATTAGAAGACAATGGGGTGTGTGTGTGTGTATGTGTGTGTGTGTGTGTGTGCAAGGAGGTGTACCACTCTTTCATAAAAGTCTTATATCACAATATGAGTGTGGTGTCTTGGGTTGTACAGGGAGTATCCTTTATAGGGGTCTGTTTCCCTTAATGCCTCCATTGGACAAACAAAGCTATTATACTGTTTTTCATTCCCACCCACCTACCCATTTTTAAAAGCATGTATTATTGGTGAGTTGACAAAATCTGGAGGACTGCCATTTGTAGGAAATATTTTCAGAGAAGACTGATTAAATGCCATGCTGCATTCTCTCTCTGCAGACCTGTCTATCCAGCTGTGTAGCTGGTTAGAAACAAGGCAGTCAAGCAGCTAGCCTGCATCACCCTGGGAAACCACCCTGGGAAATAGTACTTGGATCCAGATGTAGACCAAAGGGAGTATTCGACTTCTCTTTATCAGTGAACAGTCTTGAAGAGCTTTATTCATTACGTTCTTCTTCAACATACTGGGTCTGGAAAAAGACAGTATAATCTTAAGTATATATTGGGACCCCAGGCTTACCCACCTTTGGGGTCTAGAAGTACTGCTTGTGATACTTTCAAGTAGGAATGTGGTTCTTTTGGTCCCGATTTTCAGATATCACAAGTGCATACTTGTGGGAGTCTACTGAGACTAAGTGGATCTGAGAATGGGAAAACTATTCCCTTGCCTGTGGTAGTTTTCAGGGAAACAAATCTGGAAAGGATGATTCGGATTGTTTAACCAAGTTTCTCCTCTGTTCCCAGTTAGGGGCAAAATAGATACTGTAAATAAAAATCATTGTGAGGCTGATGGATTATTATGAGCCCACATGAAACTGCCTTGTTCATCAATTTAAAGGGAAGAAGGAAATAGCACAGCAGGAAGATATCTAGCATGGGCTATTTTCAAAGGGATATGGAGAATTCCAGTTCCCATTTCAGTTTTCAAAGAGTTAAACTTTTCCTTCTCCAGGAAGGCCACTAGTTTTTTAGTTTTTTTTTTTTATACCAAATATAGAGATCCTATTCTTGATGCAAATACCTTTGGCCTCACTGACTTGAATACCCATCTGTAAGGTGGGTATTTTAGGTTCCTTTGTAGAAACATCAGTGTGAGTCAACTCTGAGTGGGGTTGAAAGAAGGAGAGAGAAAGGAAGAGGTAAAAGAGAGAGTGGAAAGGAGGATCACTGCTGAATCATTGCTGAGGATCACTGGAGTTAGTTATGCTAGAGAGGGAAATTCGAAGCCCCAAGAGAGGGAGCCTCTGCTTCTACTATCTCAGGGTTGGCCCCCCTTTTTGGGGGACAGGAGAAAGGAGTCTTTAGCAGAGGAGGAAAGGGCAAGGGTGTCATATGAAGGGGAATGGGCTCTGGTCCTTTTTAAATCCACTATTAATCTAATCTTGTAGAGGGAAGTAGGAGAGAGGGAAGGAGGGAGGGAGGAAGAAGGAGAGAAATGGAGGGGAAAGAGATAAAAGGAGAGGGAGAGAAGGAATAAGGGAGGGAAGGAGTGAGAGAGAGATAGAGAGAGAGAGAGAGAGAGGGAATATGAGAATGAGAATAAGAATATATGTCAATAGGATCTTGATTCAGAAGGAATCTGAGGTCCTTTCCAGACGCTTCTAGTCTCCTGGACCTGGGATTCCTTTGATGAATTTGGGAGTGTTATACATTTGCCTTGTGGAACATGGACTCTGTCTGTAGAGCTGTGTGAAAACAGAAAATCACATAGCTTTTCTCTTTTCTTCCAACTGGCATCTCCCTGTTCAATGGGTAGGCAAATGGCTCTTGAGAATGGGAAGTTATGAAGGCAAGCTTGGCCTTCCTCTTTATTTCTTTTCTTCCTAAAAACATCCTTAGCACCTTGTTCTTCCCTCTCCCTTCCTCCATCCCCCCAGCATGCGGGTGAGAATGCCATATTTTCCCATAATCATTGACTCTCTGATGTTCCCCTCAGTGGTGGTGAATTTCACATTGCACAGTACTGTGCACAGATTTAAATTAAGACACTTACAAATACACCTTGGTGGGGAAAATAAAGAAGATATTGATAATTACAAGTGGCTGTCAGGCCTCACTTCCTCCTGGGAGCAGCCTCTTAGAAGGTAGAGGGAATACATTTTCTCTTAGATAGTCTCACATGCTGCACTGATTCAGCTGGACTGTACTCTAAAATATTTACTCCTAATATGCAAAAATAGTGACAAGTTTGATCAGATTAATTGTATTCACTGGGTGGATATTCTAATTGCAACTCCCAAACAGATTTTTCAAATAGCTTTTGGCTGAATCATCCAGCCCTCCTCACCCCTGTGCACAGTACCGATGTCACAATATCTTAATGCATTTTCCTTCTTGGAGACTTAATAATGAAGCCTGCCTGCCACAGAAACCATTCTTCAGGAGGTTGCCAAAAAAAATCTGTTTTTAATTAATATTACAAGGGGATCCATTTCAGCTAAGATATCTCTGGGAAATAATGTGGGATACTGCAACACTAATTGCTCCTGATAGTTGTCTTCCCTCTGGTCAGGCGGGAAGTGAGGGGCACCCCTGGGGTGGGGGAGCTGGCCAAAGCCAGTTTGTCCCCAGAGCTGTCAATTTCATCCAATGTATTGACTTAACTGGAAAACAAGAATAATATTTCCTCCTTGGTTTCTACAGCAATTTTAATGCAAATAGAAGTTGCAAACTACTTTAAGTGGGAGTCCCTGCTAATGGTTTCAGAAATGGAATAGCTGGAATCAGCTTTATTGCTGGCAAAGGAAGGCAATTGGAAAGTGGTCTTTCTAACATTGTTGGGTTAAGTGAAGGCTAGAAGTAGGGAGGGGGGAGAGAAGAAGCTGGAGGGGCTATTTTCTTTGGACTTCAAACATCAATTAAAATGACCAGAGTTACTCTGGTGCTCATTAATCTGTGAGACCAGCCTTATCCCTTAAAGAACAACAAAATAAACCAAATAGCCTATGATGGGAAAACCTAAGGTAAGCAGTTTATCCAAGAATAAACAAGGACCAGAAAAGTAAGCCGAGGATTCAGTTGCTAT